TTGAATAAAATAACTTTATCAAGTTTTACTCTTGGAGTAATTTGATCCTTCATCTTTATATATATATATATATATATATAAGGCTTAAATATGTTTAAACTACCTTGAATTAGCTCAATTTTCAGATTACTACTTTTTAAATATATTTTTTGTTAAAATTACCAGACAAATTTTTTTTCTTTCAATTTAGTACCTGACGTTAGTTTTCTCTGTTAAATGATGACGTGGCAAACAGACTGTCATGTCACCACCCAATAGTGTCTACCACATCATCCAAGGGACTGCCACATGGACATGGTGATGACGTGGCAAACACTGTTAGGTGATGACATGGTAGTCTGTTTGCCACGTCATCATTTGATAGATGGGGACCAATGTCAGGTACTAAATTGAAGAAAAAAAAATTAGTTAGGTATTTAAAACAAAAAGTAATAAATTAATAGGTAGTAATTTGAAAATCGACCTAATTGGAGGTAGTAATCTGAAAGGTTACCCATCCTTAAATTACTCTAAGTCAAACATATTTAACTATGGAGTTCTTATGTGATGAGCTACCAAAATGTAGATGCACCTTATTGATATAACTAGTACAAATTTATTTAAGTCACTCTCAACTATACAATCTCAAACTTATACGATCTTCGAATCCCTCTTATTCCAATTTTTTTGGACTGTTACAAGTCCACCAATTTCTACTTGGTTCATCCCTGAACCACACCATACTAGGAGAAAGGACCTACTCCAATATCATTTATAATGTCCCTCAAATTTGACATCTTAACGACTTCACTCCATGACACTTCACACAATCCCTTGTTGGTTAGAACCTTTCACCAACCAGAACCCCTTCGTGTGTAGCCATTTCTAAGATAAAATTTGACATCTTAGCGACTCCACTTCACGACACTTCACACGATGACACTTTATATTACCCCTAGTTGATTAGAATCTTTCACCGGTCAGAACCCCTCCATGAGTACCCATTTCTGAGATGCCCATCTACCTCTAGAATCAACGACTAAACCAACAAATCAACACAAGACTTTTTAACATGTTTTGTCCTCACTCACACACTTTATAGGAAACTTCCCAAAATGTCACTCATCCTTAAATTGTTCCAAGTCAAACACACTTAATTGTGAAGTTCTTATGTGATGAACTATCAAAAAGTAGATGCACTTTGTTGGTATAGGTAATACAAATTAATTCATTTAAGTCATCCTTAACTATACAATCTCATACTTGTACAATTTCTAGATCTCTATCATTTTAGTGTATTTGGACTGTTACACAAATAATCTAAATCAATCTGAATCGATTCATAATCAATTCAATCCATTTAGAGAAAAAATTTGAACCAATTCATTTTGCAAAATTGATTTGGTTACCAATTTTATAGAGTAAATCGATTCAATTTCTTTTAAAAAACATCTAATCTATTTATAAGTAAAAAGTAGATAATCGCACTAAATAGAACTAGTTTTAAAAAAATCCGATTCATATTTTTTAAAAATTGAACCAATCCAGTTTATAAAAAAAATGGATCAATTAACTAATTTACTTTTATATAATGGATTAGTTCGGTATAGTTTTGATGTTTCAAAAAATTTACCCATAAACACCCTTATTTATTTTAAAATAAAGACATTTAGCCCTCTTATTTTTAAAATACAAAATTTTGGTTTTCCTTGTTGATGAGGTTCTTCTTGAAGAAAACCTCAAGGAATGCTCTTCAACCTCTTCTCGAATCCTTGGAAGGATGGCAAGGATTGGAAGCTCCAAGAAGAAACAAGTGTAGCCAAGTATAACCTAGCTATCTCGGATAGAAAGTGATGATGCCTAACTCTACAAGGAGAGGATCTCAAGTAGGGTAGAGATTAGGCTAAGGGAGACTTTCGGAGGAAAGATTTCAAGAGTAGAATTCTCATTCAATTAATTCCAAAAGTGGTACAATTCTCGGCCAAGGATGAATTTATAGGCAAAATTAGGTTAAGGGTGCACGTTGGGTTAACCTAAGGTTAAGTGAAACCATGGTATGGTTTACTTAACCTTAGGCACCAAAATTTGAATTCAAATATTCAAATTTTGGTGCCAACCGGTCACCCCCACCCCCCCATGTGCACTCATTTGGATGTAATTTGGTATCTATTTGAGTTGCATTTCGGTCACACCATGTACATGTGTGCACATGGCCGAAATGCATACCAAATGCTACACTAATTACATGCAAATGAAGATGCACATGCAAACCTAAATTAACCCTAAATTTACATGACCATGAAATGAAAATCCTAGTCTAAGTGGCCGAAATACAAGTCCCAAAATGCAATACAAGCCCAAAGGCCCAAACCTACACTACTCCTAATCTACTTGGGCTTGATTCAAAGCCCAACTGAAAAGTATGATGGGCTTTTCTTGAGCATGGGCCCACTCTTCTTGAATCCTCTTGGCCATAGCCCTAGTAGTTGGGCCTTTGGCCCATGGGCCTCCTCCATCATCCCCTCCCTCTTGAAGAGGATTTGTCCTCAAATCCAAAGCATCCTCCTCTTGGGCAACAAGTCCTGTAAAAAGAGATAAATCAGAAACATTGAAGCTAGGACTAACCCCATATTCAGAGGGGAGATCTAAGACATAGACATTATTATTTATTTTCTTGAGGATTTGAAAGGGTCCATCTCCTCTAGGACTAAGTTTTGACTTTCTTTTAGAAGGAAACCTATCCTTCCTAAGGTGAAGCCAAACCCAGTCACCTTCATTGAAGACAACTTCCTTTCTACCCTTGTTATTGTATTTTGCATATTTTTCTGTTTGGGATTGAATATGATTCCTAACCCTCTCATGCAAGTTTTTGACAAATTCAGCCCTAGATGTGCCTTCTTTATGGATAAAAGAAGCAACATCGGGAAGGGGTAATAAATCCAAAGGAGTTAGAGGATTGAAACCATAAACAATCTCAAAAGGAGACATGTTGGTGGTTTTATGGACCACCCTATTGTAGGCAAACTCCACATGAGGGAGATAGATGGAGTCGCCACCAATGTTTTACTCAAAACATTGGAAAAAGAAAAGGTTTTTAAAAGTCCAATAATGGTCTTGATAACCAGAATTGGGTTCGGGGGTCGGTTACGTGTAGGGAAGGTATTAAGCACCCTTACAACGCCCTAAATCGGTACCCTATGATGAAGATAACATAATAAGAATTAATAATTAAAATATTTAATCCCCTTTATTAATGATTATTTACATGAAAATTAAATTACACGGTTGAACCCTAAGAAATTTACATAATTGTGTTTATGATAGCAATAATTAAAATAAAAGAAGAAAAAATAGAACAAGGGATTGATGAATAATACCTCGTAACAAGCTTTATTAGATCTTCAACTATGGAGATTTTAGGTGCTTTGTGGCAACCTTTCACACTACAATGTCTCACAAAATCTCAAGAAATACAAGAGAGAGAAAATGAGAGAAAAAGAGAGAAATTTCGAGCTCTAGAGAGTCTGGACGAAATTTGGAGTCCGGAGAAATGAGCCCCAGTTGTCTATTTATAGACTTTAGAAGGGGTCCGGAACGGCCCGTTCCAAAATCGGAACGGCCGTTCTGGATATGGCCGTTCTGTGTTAATTTGGACCCTGGAACGTCCCGTTCTGGGGAACCAGAACGGCCCGTTCTAGTTTCAGAATGGCCCGTTCTGGGGGTACAAATTAAGCCCACTTGTAGGAGACTGGAACAGTCCGTTCCAGTTTGAACGTCCCGTACCAGTTTACAAATTATAGGCTTTTTAGGAGCCTTGGAACGCCCCGTTCCAATTCAAGAATGGCCCGTTCCAGACTTGGAAACGGCCCGTTCCGTAGAATATTTCACATAACTAACTATTAGGATGAAAGAAAAGAATAACAAAGATATGATTGTAAAAGTTTTTATTTTTTATTTCTTAATTTTGTTTAATAAAAAATATAAAATATTTAAGTATAGTAGAAATGTCAAAAATATAAATAATTTAATTTTTATTAAAAATTTATCTATTTAATTATATTATTGATAATATATATACTATTTTTATTATATGATATAATTAAATAAGTTAACTTATTAAGTTTTAATTTTTTTTATAAATTTAAACTTAATCTTTAAATAAATAAACACTTTTAAAAAACATAAATATAACTTTTTATTAAGTAGGTAATGTGAAACCAGATTTAAATTTTTTTATTAAATAAGTTTATTTTTTTACTTCACAGCATGGATTTTAACTTTTGGTTACGTCACGGTTTAATCTTACCGTTCCACGTCCAAGTCAATGTGACGTCACCCCGTGGTTTGCAACCCATGTGATCGCTTCACGCTATTTCACCGGCAAATTTCCCCTATTTCCGAACCACCTTATTGCATGTCCCACGCGCCTCCTCGGCAATTCGTGTTCACTCAGCCCTCTTTTCCTCACAACATGATCTTTATGGGAAAAAAAAAAGAAATAAAAAGAAATTTGAAATGCGAATATATATCCACCCAAGTTGATGTTATATCATTTGCAACTTAACACTGAAAGTTAAGTGTGATATGCTGGCTATAATATGGTTGTACATGTATGTACTTGTAGTCAAATTACAAGAGTTGGTAGTATTTGAATGCATATAATAAGCAAAAGGAGATTCGAATGTTTTTCTCTAGTTGTATTATTAATTCCTCCTATTTGCATTTCTTTTCGACATCTCTCTAGTGTAGTTAATTTATAATAATTTTTTAAAGCATAAAAATTAGTTAAAGTAGTGAAGAGAATTTTTTCTTGAATGAATTAAAAAAAAAATGAAAAAATTGGCATTGGAAGCGCGAGTGGAGAAAAGGAAAGAAGAGTGGCAGTGGGTAAAGGCAAGAGAGTAAGGAGTTGAGACGAGGAAAGAAAGAAAGAAAGTTGTACAGAAGTAAAGTGACGTAAGCAAGCACGAAGAAAGTGTTAAATTTATTTAATTTGATTATAAATAAAAACTCTAACGCTTCCACCTCTCATTTCATTCTCTTCTTCCCTTGTTCTCAGTCTTTCCCTGTTCTCCCACCCACACGATGCAGGGCCTACACCGCTGCTCAAACGACGTCGTCCAACTAGACCTCTCCACCACCAACTCCTCCTCCACCTCCTCCTCCTCTTCCTCCCTCTCCATCGACGTGGACGAGTCCACCGAGGCCCGCATCACGCGCCTCATATCGGAGCACCCCGTCATCATCTTCACGCGCTCCTCCTGCTGCATGTGCCACGTCATGAAGAAGCTCCTCGCCACCATCGGCGTCAACCCCACCGTCATCGAATTGGACGACCATGAGATCGCCGCCCTCCCTCACCCCTCCCCCACTCCCGCCGTCTTCATCGGCGG